TTTTTTTTTTTTTTTTCCCTTTCCCCGCCCTGATGGATAATGTCACAGGGTCTGTTTCCTTCCTAGATGAACTGTTACTGGTAAAGTTTCTAAAAATTGTCACCAGGGGAATCACCTTTCTTGATTGTTATAGGTCCAGCCACCCACTCTCCAACAACAAACCAAAACAAACCAAGAGGACTTGGTGCAGTACAGAAGAAAAAAAAGTTATTCTAACTAAAAGGGTATAGGAAGAAGGAGAACTAGCAAAGTAGAGGGAGAAGGTGCAATTGTCCATTGATAGCTCAAGGTAGAGCTGCAACTCTAGAAGCTTGCAGGCTGCAGCCGAGGTCTACTGCTGACGTCTGAGGTTCCTCCGTCTCACTGTGGAGGGGCAAAGACCCAACACCCAACTCGCTGGTAGGCAGCTGCTGTTCCACAGTAGCAGTGGGAATAAGAAAGCAAGCGCACCTGCGTTATTTCCTTGTAGAGCCTCACAAGATGGCTGCCTAACTCCGCCCCCTTCCCAGCAGCCCCCTGGCTCGGGAAAGTACTGTGTGCAGGTCAGAGGAGGTGCCACACAGGCACGTCCCCTCCTGCGTGGGTGTGTCAGATGCCAGGAGAGTTGGACCACTGGCAACTGGTGCTTCGTTTTCTTTGAAGTTAAATGTAACTGCACATATATTTTAAAACTGTCGCCGGTTCTACCAAATGAGGAAACATATCTAAAAAATAGGGTCCTTTTTTTGTCTGGACTCAAAATGGCAGTTTCCACTTTTTCAGAATGGGGCTGCCAGATTTAGCAGAAAAATTCTAAGGCATCTAGTTAAATTTGTATTTTAGGAAAATAAAAGATAACTTTTAAAAGTTGAAGTGTCTCCTACACAATATTTGTGTCGGACTCTTTCTGAACATTTGGCCTGTTTAAACGGCTGTGTCCTATATTTTACCTGGCAGCCTTATTTCAAGGCTCCTTTGTCATCTCAAAATTGAGGACCCTAAGCAGCTTCTGTAGATTAGATGTACTGATATTTAATAGATGAAAAATTTAAGCAGAAATATTTTAACATTAATTCATTAAAAAAAACAGTAAGTCCATTTGTGGTAACATACTTTTTGTGGAAAAATAATCTCTAAAACAAATTTTAAAAAGCAAGCTGTTATGTATTTTTATAAATCTTTTAATATTTGGCTTAATTTAGAATAGAAGGTCCTGTAATTTTAGTTTGTTTTATATAGGTAAGTGTTTTCTGTTGTAAGAGGCCTAATGAGTCAAATGGTGAAATATACAATAAAAATAATTATGTTCAGGTTTAGCTGCAATTTCTTCTTAAATCATTTTTGTAAAAACTTAAAATGATATATAGCTCTGTACTCCACTGTCCAAGAAAACGGCTTTTATAGAAAGCCAAGGTAAGGCTTCCAGAGGCCCACTGTCAGCTTTTTATGTAGCTATTTAGAATAAGTTTGAGCGGTTGTTCTGTAAAATGTAATGTCCCATGACAGTGTCTGCTAACGCTGTCGAGGTTGAACTGGACTGACTTTGGGTGTGTTGTCCTGAGCATAGTGTGTGCTCTCTGGCACGTGTGGCCGGCTCTTCAGTGCCTTAGCCTGGCGCAGTAACTGATCTGACTCGCATCTCGTGCAGGTTGGCAGTGCACAGAGGAGTAAAACTGACTTCTTTAGTTGCTTGGACAGCTGAGAAAAGCGTTATCAACAAAAACTTAACAGAAGGAAGTGATGGACTGGGATAAAGTTGTTTCATTTTGAACTGGAGATGTAGGTAGCCCAGGAGTGATGAAATGGTGTGTGGTGAATTTTCTGACCCATGAACAAGAAAGTGACCACCAAGGACAATGTAGAGGAGAAAGGGAGTGGACAAAAAGCAGACCTGTGAGGGATATTTAACTCTGCAGTAGAAAAGAGCTGATAGAAAGGAAGGAAATGCAGGGGGAATGTTTAGAGAGAAATCAGCAGCACAGTGAGGAAAATGCCAGAAAGTGATGGAGTGTTTTGCAGTGTCCAGTACCAGACTAAGACTGATGAATGGTGACTGCTGCTTAAATGTGGAACATAAAATCCTAGAGAGTATCGGGTTTTTGTTTTTTTTATTCCCTAAGATTTATTTGTACATACAGAACTAGGGTTCAGGCTAGAGGTGTAGAAGGTGAGAGGATTCACCAGAGACAGTGGGAGGAGCAGAACAGGCAGATGGATGAAGTACACCAATGAGGGGAGCAGTGGGCGGGTCAGGAGAGGTCTGCTGCACCATGTGGGTCACCTCCAGTGCAGGGGATCGAACCGGTACTGGGATGCAGCTACGCTTTAACCCACTGCACCACCATGGAGGGCCCAAGAGTGTCATTTTGATAAATTGTCACATTTTTATAATTTCACGTTTGAATTTGAGAGAAATGAAGCAGAAAAGTTTTTTGTTGTTTTTAAGATTCAATTTACTTATGCATACAAGAACTGGGGTACAGGCCAGAGGGGGGGGGTGAGCAGATTTACCAGAGACAGTGGGGAGCAGAACAGGCAGATGTACTGAGATACACTGCTGAGGGGAGCAGTGGGGAGACAGGAGAGGTCTGCTGTTACACCCTGTGTGTCACTCCCTGGCTGGGGATCGAACTCACGTTGCAACAGCTGCAGATAGCTTCAAAGAGCTGCTGAGCACCTTTACCCACTGAGCCACCAGTGGGTAAACTTTTCAAAGCAGAAAAGTTTTTCACTCCTCTGGGGTAACAAATATCCAGAAGAGCTAGGTCAGACTGTTGTTCTTTGCTTCCCCTCCCTTACCAGGTAGAGGTCCCTAATTAAGCTGGCTGAGTGAGGCAAGCTGAGCGGTGACTCCAGCAGAACTCACTTCTCCAGTACTCAACGTATTTTAGAACGACAGTTTTGTTTGTTTTCAGTGTTTCTGTTTTAGGTGCAACACTAGCTGACAGGAGATGCTCAGCTGTTCACTAAGAGGTCTGAGGGCTCCACTCCCTCCTCAGCTGGATGTGGGGGCTGGGCTGGACGGTCTCTAAGGCTCTGCTGAATCGACGTGTTGGTATTCATCGGTGACCACTGTCCTCTCTTTCCTTTTGTGTAATAGGTTCAGCAAGTTGAAGAGTCTTAACCTTTCCAATAATCATTTAGGGGACTTCCCATTAGCGGTCTGCAACATCCCCACTCTGACGGAGCTGAACGTGTCCTGCAACGCCCTGGGAGCCGTCCCGGCAGCTGTGGGTGTGATGCACAAGTGAGTACCGGAGCATCCCCCAGAATCTCCCCCGACCCCGAAGCAGCCCTGGGGTCTCAACCACTTAAGACCAGTTACTTGTTAGGTTAGTGATGTAACTGTTGGCCCCGATTGAGAAGTCATGCTCTCTGTGGTCTGTCAAGGTTCCTCTGTGAGCTTTCATACTCACTAGAATCTTACAAGAAATTAAACAATCTTGTTCCAAACTGAAGGTCCCTACAGATGAGCGTGACTGAACATGGGGGGGACGATTGATTACACTCTTGTTTTCTGAATTATATTGAATTCTAAGGCAAAAGTAAACTTTTTTTTTATATTAAGAGTGAAAGATGGGTATGTGGCTGATTCAGTTTGCAGTTAGCTCCCTTTATGCCTTTCCAAGTTGGGAAATTGGTCATAATTTTTGTTTTCAATAAAAGATTAAGATGCTTATCTCTGGTTTACCTCCCTAGTGCATTACTGCTTCAGGCCCTTAAGCACTTTGCAAGGGATAGAATATTGTTTTTCTATAAATATGATCTATATTTGTGGGACATGTATGCTGATAATAGGGCGTACAGTTCACGTGTTCTCTCTGTAATTCTTCTGTTTTCTTTGATAGCTTACAGACATTTTTGTTGGATGGAAACTTCCTCCGGGCCCTTCCTGCTGAGTTGGAGAACATGCATCAGCTTAGTTATCTTGGTCTTTCTTTCAATGAATTCACCGACATTCCGGAGGTGCTGGAGAAGCTGCCTGGTGTGGACAGACTGTGCATGAGCGGGAACTGCATGGAGACCCTTCGGCTACAGGCTTTGAGGAAGATGCCTCACGTCAAACATGTGGACCTGAGGTGACCACTTTTAAGAACTATGTTCCCTCTGATGGCTGGCTTGTGCTGAGGGTGGGTCATGGCCCTTGGGTGATACTCTCCTGCCGACGACAGCAGCCCGGTGGGTTGTAGTTAGGCCTGATTTTCTGTTTCTTCCCAGAGAAAGAACAGTGAGCGATATATTAGGTTTGGCACACACCTGACACCTATTTAAAAATCATTTTCATATATCGTAAGGCCTTAATTTTATTTTGTAAGCTTGAATCAAGTTTTAATTTGCTTGATTCGATAGGCCCATCAATTCAAGAATTATTTAAGGTGAACAAACCATATAATTGAGAACAAAATAGATATTTTTCTCAGCTCAGGAAAGCTGTCTGTCACGGGTTTCAGTTCTTACAGCGAACTGTGGCTCTTGGGCCATAACACTAACTTGCCTCACTGGATGCTTGTCAGCTATGAGACATGTCGAAGACACTCACTAAGCACGTTAAATCTGGGCAGAGAGATTTTCGTGTCTGTGCGGTCGGTTTCTTACTTCTAAATTACAGTTAATAGCACACCCTAATTCATAGTGTTTCAGTATGAATGGAGTTAAAACGCTTCGCACTCGCAGTAAGCATTACGTTTCTTACTATCACCTGACTGAGGACTCTTCTGCTCCTGGAACCCGGAGCTTGTTCAGCTGGCCTCATTAGCATCTGTTCGCCTCTCTGTCGCAGGTGGTCCTTTCCTCCACTTACTACCTGTCTTCTCTGGTGATGACTCCAGATCCTCATCCAGGTGTGTCTGGTTCATCTAATCACGTAACATCATCTTCTGTGTGGTTTGGCCGAGGAAATCCATCCATTCTGCATTCACCAAGAACTGCTAGGCTTCTCCACTCTTCAGAATAAAGCAGGAGAGACGTTCACACTCGGGAAGTGTTTGCAATTTGCAGACCTTCAATTCTTTCTTCAGCGGTGTGAATGGTTATAATTTACCTGACTTTGAAAACTTTTTGGAATGTGACAGGTCAGGGAACTAGTTTTCCTTGTTAACTTTCTTCCTAATACGTTTACATTTGCTTCTGAGTGAGCCACTTGGGTTTAGAGCAACTCATTCCACAACTTAAGCCCTACTTTATTCATTGATCTCCCTGTGCAACAGTGGGTCACACAGACCGCCGGTCACAGTGTAAGAGGAGTATAAGAAGATATTCTTCTCTTGATCTGAATTAGCTTGCAAATCGATCACTCTGGTATATCCAGAAGGAACTTCTTAGGAGCAGCTTTGTAAACTCTCCAGTTTCCCAGTACTGGAGTCTCTTTAGATCACCTGGAGGATATTTACATAGAGCGTAGACTCAGACACACTGTGTGTTGAGTGAGAGTGCGTGGAGGCCGCCTCGCTGCACCCACTGCCCGAGGAGAGCCTGGCCAGAGCTGCTGGTGCTTCTGCCTTAACATTTGTGCTTAAGGTGGCTGAATGATCTACAGGACTTCCACTTCATTTCTCTAAGCAAAGGCTCCAGATGGAAATGTTAGATTAAAAGTCGTCATTTGTCTTTTACTCTTACTGGCTTTACATGGATGCTCTTTGAGAATGATGTTCCTTCTCCGGCATAGTAATTCTTCCTTCTCCACTTCTCTGTCCAGAGTGTGGCCATTGTCCTGCTCTCCCTGGTCACTTCTCTCTCTGTTTCTTGCCCCCTCGTAGGGGGCTTCCTCTTTCACCTCTGGGATGAGTGCCCTCAGCCTTTCTCTCCCACTTCTCTCCTTGGGATGAGTTCCACTTCAGCTCAGGCAGGTTAAGTGCACTTTGGTTTTCCCCACAGACACACTTAATGAAATACATGTAAAACAGCTTAACTCCTTTCAGTTCCACCGGTCTTCCCAGCCCCTGTTTGCAATATCGCTTTACTGGCTTATCCAGACACAACTTTCAACTGTTCTTTCACGCTGGTTTTTCTCTTTGGGCCTTCCTCATCCTTCTCATTATTGCTGTCACCTCCCAGTGAGCCATCTGCTTCTGTTTGTGCCTCTCAAGCAAGCAGTCTTGCCTGAAGCCTTCAGTTCTTGGATCAAGGCACTCAATCTCTGCACCTGGCGTCAGCCACCAGCCTGGAGCTCCCTTGAGGAAGAGGCTCTAGCTCAGAGCCACTCGAAGTTCTGTCCTCCAACCCATGCTGACACACCAGTTACTGGCTACTTCCCCACAATGAGATACACACAGAGAGAGAAGTTAAGACTAAGAATTTTGAAAACTAAGAGTGGTTTGTCTTTGCCTCAGCATCCAGAGAGATTCACTTCTGTGGACCCGGAGTAGACTCACTGCTGGAGAGCTTGCCCCTGTGGTGTGAGCTGTGCGCTGGATGCGTGCGTGCAGTGCGAACACTCTCCATGCTGTGGTGCGTTATCAGTGTAGGAAGTAGGTCTCCACCATAGCTTATCTGGGAAGCAGCTCTCTGACTCATTCTCAGGCCTCGTAGGATGTTAGCACGTAGTGTTAGCACTCAGTAGGCACAGTACTTGCTAAGTACTGACTGACCTGTTCTGTAGCCATAGTCTCACTCCTCCTGAGGGCATGAGATTTCGTACTCTCACTGCATAACGCCTCCATGCTGCTCTTCTTCCTCTCCTGTGAGTGCCTGTCGAGTTTTGCCGGCCCTCGGGCCGCAAGTCACGTGCTTCCCCTCCTGAAGCACTTTCTGCATCATTCTCTTCCGCACATCACTTACGGCACTCTCCACATACTTGTAGCCATTATTCTTCATATTTTGCAGCAGATGTGGTTCCCCTCACATATCACTAAACTGAGTGACAGACAGGGTGGAGATACTGTTTTAGTCATCTCTTATGGACACAAAGCTGCAGCCCTCTTCACAAAGTCCTTCCCTGCTGGCGAAGCGCCAGCACGTAAGTTCACTCGATTTCTCAGCCACCTTGCTGTGCTGAAAGTGTGACCCCCATTTTATAGATCAGAATTAAACATAACAAGAACTGAGTGAGTGGCTCAAAGTCACAGGTGCCAAATCCTGAGAAGCCAGCAAGAGCAGATAGCGATCTTACTGCCCCTCCTCAAGAAGAAAACTGCTCAGCGGATATTTATGAAATAAATGGGTTCAGCCAGCTGGGAGGAGTATTGGAAGGAAATTTTAACCACATCTTGCTTCTAAGTAGTTACATTATTGTGTGAAACTGTATTTTTACCTTTGAGTCCTGATGAGACTTGACTAAATCGAACAGTGGGAACTTGAACTTTCCTGTTACTGTAGATTATTTTTCTTTTGTCTCCTCATTAAACCAACCTTTTAATTACTTTAGTGTTAATACAATGAAGTTGTTGGGGAGCTGTTTCAAGAGGGGATAATAATGGTGCCACCCCACGACAGTAATTTAACATGTAGACTGGGGAGAAAATGGGGCTTTTTCAATCCCTGTGGTCTGTTGTATCCAAAATAAGATTTGCCTTTCTTCCTTATTCTGTGTACACAGTCTGATAATGTAGTGAGCATTTGGAAATAGTCAAATTGCCAGGTTGTGGCCGGTTTTTTAATCTTACAACATGAAGTAAATAAGTAGTAAAATACAGTCCTTGGAGACAGCTGAAGCGGCCACCAGCTGCCGGTAGGTCCTGGCTGTTTGTTTCCCATCAGCCATCGCTGCGTCCTGCGGCCTTAGACTGCTGGTGTTGATCACTCTGGCCGGTGCCTTGACATTTCCCGCGGGCGGGCATTTCCTGCCAAGACCCGCGGGTGTCTTCCCAGGCTCGGCCTCCGCCTGCCCCCCGCGAGCCTCGTCCGCGATTTCAGCCCTCTGCTGACTTTGCCGGGAGAGGCCGGAAGTCAAGGGCTTTATCAGCTTGTCAGCGACTTAGGTATAGACTGCAAACTAGCGAATAGATGGAAACTAGTTTTTCGTCCTTCTTCCCTTTGTGGCAAAATGTGTCTTGACTCGATGTCTCGTCCCCACCACAGACTCACGTCTGTCTGGGCAGCGATCAGGCAGGCAGCGCCCAAAGTGGGGTTCCGCCAGTTTCCCCTGTGACCTTTCCTGGCCAGGACTTGTTGACCCCATCATCCTCCCTCACGTGATGACTTCTCAGTGAATCCCGGATGTCAGATTTCAGTATTTTCTGCACTTAGCCCCTACAAGGAATATTTTAAAGATGGAGATCGTTCCATAATTACTCCTGGACTGTGAACCAGCTAGAAATCCAGATATTTGCATATGTGGGTCCCTAGCCCACACCCCCACCCCCTTTACCTACTTTGTCCTACGTGGCTGCTTGCTCATTCTCTTTCTTTTAGTCAGTATTCACCGTAGATGGGTTCTGGGTTTTATTTCTTGTGTTCTTTTCAACAAATTCTTTGGAGATAAATAAGTGGATTTTTTTCCCTCTTGAGTTAAGGTGCACATCAATGTCTGTGTACTTTTCTTCCAGCCTTAGTGATCTAAATTATGTTCCAGAATATCCTATCAAGGTTAGGTGGACTTGATGGAGTTACAGCTAAAAATAGCCAGAAAATCTGGTCAGGTAGGCAAGACCAGATGCTGAAATTAAAGAAGTCACGGATAACTATACTGTAGCAAGACTTGAGTCCTGCTTGCACTTCATCATATTTGGCTGTGGCTGCTTATTTATAACACTGCAGAAAATTATATATAAACTTTACACCTTCAGGGACACCACAAAGGAAGAGCCTTTGTCACTTAATGAGATCTCTCCTTCAGAACTGGGAAATCATGGTAGGTCTTTAAAAAAGAAGAGGTCATATGGGCATATGTTGTTTGATTGCAATTCTCTGCAAACGGAATGTTGCACAAATATTTATTACAAGTTAAACAAATAACTAACAAGTACTTTATGTGCAATGCAGTACATGAGTACTAGAAGACGAGGGATTTTTACTTTATTTTATTGATATCCCATTCTGTCATTTCCCCCTCAAGACTGAATGTAATTCGGAAGCTCGAAGCAGATGAAGTGGACTTTCTGCAGCATGTCACTCAACTTGATCTGCGCGACAATAAGCTTACTGATCTAGATGCTATGATTTTCAACAACATCGAAGTTCTGCACTGTGAGAGGAATCAGCTGGTGACACTGAGCATCTGTGGCTATTTCCTCAAAGCGCTCTACGCCTCGTCTAATGGTACGAACAGAGGCCGCCTCCCATTTCCTTTGGTTGCAAGAAATGACCCAGCGTCATCATCTCTGCCTCGCTTTAATTTTTCTTCCCTCAAATTTAATAAGTATCACATTTTGCAAAGATAATAATCATAAAAGAAGGTTGGTTTGGTACTTAAAGGAATCAAAAGGGAAGATTTTAAATATCCTAACGTGTGTTTCTGGTATCATGATAGCTAGCTAAGTTACACATACTTTGAGTTGGCTCCTCTGCTTGGAGGAGGTAAGGATGAGCTCTCTCTGGCTGCCTTGCTAGGACAGTGAATTGGGAGCCTCAGTACTGGAGAGTGGAAGCGAAGGGAATAACTGCTTTGAATTCCATTCATGGCCTCAGACTTCATGTCCTGTTAACAAAGAAACTCACGTTAGGAGAACCCTGAATTCACACCCTCGGGGATACCACATAGGAAGCCTCTCAATCACTGAATGAGATCTCGTCCTCAGAACTGGGCAATCTTGGTAGTTGTAGAAAATGAAGAGGTCGTATGGGCATATGTTTGTTAAAGTGAAGCTTTCAATATTCTGCACTTGGAATACTGCACAAATAGTTATTAGAAGTTAAACAAATGACTATCGGGGACTTTCAGCACAGCGTGGTACATGAGTTCTAGAAGACAAGGGATTTTTATTTTATTGAAGTAACATAATAGAGCTGTCTGTGTTTAGTAATACAGGGTCTCCCCCTTCAGAAGCTGTTACTGTAACACACCACCACCAAGACACCACAGTCTATCCCCATTGTCTTCTGTACTCCCTCACCTTTGTTCTCACCCCTTTCCCCAGAATAAGGGATTTTTGAAAAATGGCTTCACTGTCATCTCATTGCAGAAACAAGCAAAACCTCAAGAAGCTAGAGATCACTGAAGGGTTAAAGGATTTGCATAGCCAGGAGCCATGAAGAAAGTGTTGAGAGGAAAATAATTTGAACGGGGTTTGTTTGGCAGATGGGAAAAGAGAGGGAATTCTGAACTTCTAGGTGGCTGCTGGAGAGTGATCAGTGATTCTGGGATGCATAGCTTGGAGTCAGATGGTGCATCTTGGAAGCCAGCATTGTAAACTCTAGAGAGCCAGTGAAGCGTCCTACCGGGAAGTGATACTATAGGCTGCTGGCGCCAAGGCCCTGCACAGCGCACAGGGCCTTGTGGGGGGCACACAGTACCCCCACTCCAGGTTTCTGTAATGGTCTCCATGTGGACTGATGATTTAAGGCTCGTCTTAGAGGCGATACTGGAAACCAGGGAAGTAAGGTAGCTAGGAGACAGAGCTGGTACCCAGAGTAGCTTGCAGACTCTTTGTGCTAGCTGGCATTAGAGCGGTGACCAGAGAGGCCCTGATGCTGTGAACTACTTATGTTAGAGAAGCAGAAGAAACTACTCCAGGACACACAGCTCTCAAGGATGGTCGAATCACAATTCATTCAGTTTTAAGAAGGAATTTTCAGATGTAAGTAGAGGAAGCCATTTGTGATTCTCAGGCAGGCTGGTTTGGTAGAGTAAAAAGGGCAAAGATCGGCTGCATTTGGTTTTATGGCAGAAAGCAGGAAGTTGAAAATCACAGTGTTTATTCGGTTAATTTTTGAGATAAAACTTAGCATGCCGAACAGGACATGGCTGGAAAGAGGTGGAAAGTAGAATGAATGATTTATTTCAGTCTCTGAATAAGATCTTGTGATAAAATTAGAAGTTCTCTGTACTTTCCTGTAGTTTGAAAGTTAACAAATGGATGCATTGTGCTTCCTACGCTAAACAAACAATGGAGAATAAAGCACAGTGATGATATTCTGCATCTAAAAAGAGTCTCTGTGTCACTTGAATTGTAATGTTTTTCTGATTTCCCCCCTCCTAGAACTCGCTCAACTTGATGTTTACCCAGTTCCAAATTTTCTATCCTACGTGGATGTCTCAAGGTAAGAGGCCAAATCTAGAATACTCTTTCGAGTCTGCCTGAAAGTTATAAACTCTGTCAGCTTTTTGTATAAAAGCCTTTTCTTATTTACTTTGAAGGTAAGTAGTACAGTTCAGTCATTTGTAGTTATCCTCTCAAAATGGATGTAAGTATCTGTCAGTTGAAATACTACTTGTATACTATAGTTTAATCAGAAGAATCAAGCGGTCAGAGTAAGCACCAATCCGAGCGCCAGATTTGGCCTTGAAAGATCAGTGAGTGAGAAATGTATGGCTGGGGTGTCAGTAATTCCTTGTATTGACCGTATCTTTAGGGTTTTACCTGAAATGCTTAAAAATATAAATTATCCTACAGTTCTTTCCTTCTACCTCTTTGTTATTGTGCACATCCACCCCTTTGCTAAGAACCCTTCCAAAACAGTCAGTAAACCTGCTGCTGACGTAGGATTTCTCTACATCCTTTCATTTTCCCCAGCAACTGTGGATAGTCTGACCATGTCACGTTCTTAGTTATGGGCTTATTCCAGTTTCCACAAATACTGCAGTGGACTTTTTCCTAAAGGCACAAAGCATGTGTCTATACATGTAAACTTTAGTAATCTCAACCCACTAGAATTGAAGTTCACTTTGAAAGTAATTTCGAAGGAAATAGCCTGAATTTCCTGAGTAACTGTGGCCCACGGGGACACGGCCCTCACGAGTGACAGCTCAGCTGTCAGTGTGTGGCATCTGCGGTGTTTAATAGTCACCTGCTTTGACCAAGGCTGCTGTGTGATGTTTCAGGTACAGAATTGAGTTTAGTCACGAGGGCCTACAGACAGAGAGCTGTTTTAACAGTATATTCGGTCATAGCTATGTAAGAGTATGTCCAGAATTTATTGCAAGAATTACTACAATTATAATTTTATTAGAAATTTGTAATTATAAAGTCCTTTATGAGTTAATCTTCTTAATTCATGTTAGTTTTGTTGAATGAAACTTGACGTCTGGCATTACTTGATTCAAGTTCCTATTTTGGTTTTTTTCCTATCAATCTTAAATGTCATCTACAATCTTTAAATGAGAACAGTATAAGAATGGGGTTTGCTTACCTGAGTGTGTATAGATAATTTGGAACAGATTTATTTCAGAAAGTTGACATATGGTGAACCTCTTTTATTTGTAGAATGTAATTGACAAACGGCTCTCCTTGAAACTCTTAAGTGAAGTTGGCTTAGAAGCTTTTGTATCTTCTTATACTTGAATTATGCCACTTAAATACTATTCATCTTTCTTTTGTGACTCTCCTGTTCAGAGTCTTCACTATAGTGTACTTTGCCTCATCTACCTTCCAAACTATAATCTTTCTCTTTAAAAAACCGTGATTCTCCCTTTGTGTAGTGTTGTCTGCAAGAACTGAATTGTCATTCACCGTAGTGTCCACCAGGTCCTCAGAGGCATTCGAGTTCGAAGGTTCAGGGATTTTAAAAATCACTTTGTTATATATTGCGGTAGCTTATACTGGTTGAGTACTTTCACTCTCCTATCTTGCTGAAATGTTTTAGGGGTTAACTACTGCAAAATAGATAATTATATCGGTCCTTAGGGTTTCACAGCCAGAATAGGATGTACCTATATAACTGCTATGCAAAAAATGATGCCATTTTCTCTGTACTTTCATTGAAAACTTGTTATAGTAGCAAAATCAGAAAATCAAATGTTTAAATCACATAAATGCCTCCACCCTAACATCGAAATTATTTTGCTTTTGCTCTAATAAAGTCCCTATCCCAATTGTCATATATTCATGAAATTGTTCATCTTCTTCAAAAATTATGGCCATAACATTTGCTTGCTTCTGGACTTTTCAGGTTAGCAATTCTGGGAGTCAGACTTTGTTAACGTAAGAGATGGTGTAACTACATCCACTCCTACTTTTTCTTGCTTCTTATTCCTGCCCACAATTTAATATGCTTGTAGGTTAAAGTGAAGCACGTAGCCTTTTGCTTTTTGCTCGTTGTGCTTTGGCATTTCACTTGAAATATATTCTCTGCAATTATCTTGCATTTTGAACCATATTTTAGGCCTAACTCTAATTAAAAAAATTGTATATTCTCATATTCAGGAACCGTTTGGAAAATGTGCCTGAGTGGGTATGTGAAAGCCGAAAGCTGGAAGTTTTGGATATTGCTCATAATCAAATATGCGAGCTTCCCGCACGGTGAGTATTGCAGGTCATTTGAAAGAATCTCAGATTAGATCAGCAATTTACAAATTGCTATTCTAGTATCTACCTTATTATGAGCCATTAAAAGAATGTTTTCAAACATTTTTTTAGTATCTTTCACCTCACATGGCTACAGACTTTCTTCCTACAGTGAAGAGAAGAGTAAGACTTTGACTCTCAGCCAGAGCCAGCCATGCGGGGGAACTTGGTGGAAATTTTAAAATGAGCCAAAAGAAATATTTGAACACCCAGGAAGCCATGTGATTGGTTTGCCTCTGCAGTCTTAATCCTTCCATAATCCTCCATTTCTGTCCATTGGCCTTACGTGTCTATTTTACCCACAAATAATTGTTGGTTTTCCTTGAACATAACTTTGAAAAAAACAAAGCTTAGAAGATCATTAAATCTAGACAGTGCAAACTAGATTCATTTTTTTCTTACCGTGATACTTGGAGTAGAAGGTCCAAGAGCTCCCCTCACTTTCTCTCTTAGGTGGGCTGTTTTGTTTTTTTTTTTTTTTTATTACAAAAGTTTATTTTTACATCATTTTGCACATTTTTTCCCCCATCTTGATTGTAATACCCGCGGGTTTCCCATCACCAAATCACCCCTGTGCCACCACCATAGTCCCGTGCATTTCCCTCCCTTCCCCCCCCTCCCCGTTGTTGATCCCATTCCGCACTCCACCCCCACAAAATGTCTCTGGTATATGGTTGTTCATTATTTTTGTTATTTTCTCGCCTAGTCCATTATACTCCTGCTACGAGTGAAATCATCCGGTATTTTTCTTTCTCTTTCTGGCTTATCTCACTAAGCATGATCTTTTCCAGCTCCATCCAAGTGGCTGCAAAAGACATGTGTTTCTCTTTTTTGGTTGCTGAGTAATATTCCATTGTATATATGTACCACATCTTTCTAATCCAGTCATCTACTTTTGGGCATCTGGGCTGCTTCCATGTTTTTCCAATTGTAAATAAAGCAGCAATAAACATGGGGGTACAAGTATCTTTTTCAATCAGTGTTTTTGTGTCTTTTGGGTAGATACCTAGGAGTGGGATTGCTGGGTCATAGGGAAGCTCCATGTTTAGCAGTTTGAGGAACCTCCAAACATTTTTCCATAGTGGTTGTACTAGTTTGCATTCAGGTGGGCTGTTTTTTTATCTCACAGACTTCACCATGACGGCACAATGTTTGCAAGAGCTGTGTGGTAGTGCCTAGTGTCATAAGTACAAACAGTTTCGAGTTGACTCACTGTGGCACATCACGTTATTGGGCTTTTCAGTGACCAGGCCTCGGGAGTAACCAAGAGTGGTGCAGAACCTTCTGTGATAATAGAGATGGGCTGTCTCTGTGCTGCCCACCACGGCATCCACTAGCTCAGAGTGCAGCTGCCAAACATCTGAAATGTGTCCGATATGATGGAGGAACTGAATTTTATATTTTATCCCCTTTATTAATTTATGCCCATGTACCACTCTGGTTAGAACCTGCCACAATTCAGGTTTGGCTGTTTCCACTATTCTCAGCCAATTACTGAGTAGAGAAAAGTCAGTTGTTTTTAACTATGTAGTCAAAAGCGTCCAGGAAAATATTATAGAAATATATCACTATTTGGGAGTAAATTTTACCATAGAGACCTCATCTTTAAAGGAATATACCCATACTCCTCTGTTTTCTTGTCTAGTACAAGGCTGTGGAATGGATGTGCTTGGAAAGCCTAGTAAAATGTGTTAAGAGTGGACTCTCCAATGCAATGACCACCAGCCACGAGCCACTGGGCTGTCGAATACTTGAAGGACTAGTCCTCAGTGAGAAGTTCTGAAGTGTAAAATAGGGAGAAATAGCTCATAATGTTGCATATTAATTACATGTTAAAAGAATATATCGGCTATATTAGGTTAAATAAAATACAAGAATCAGCTGTTACTTTTTTTTTTCACTTTAATGTAGCTACTAGAAAATTTAAAATTTCATATATGCCTTACATCTATTACCATTGAGTAACGCTATCCACATGTATTCACCATGAAAGAAATCTTGAGCTACACTTTCAGTGTCTAGATGATTCAGTTGATTTTTCTTTGTTCCTTGGCCATTAAATTCAAGCCACTTGAAAATTCTTTCTGCTTTAACTTTAGAGTTTTATATTGACTGAGCATTTAAGTGACCTAGTATAGACCATCACCACTATCAATAGAACTTCTTGATGTGCCCTGTGGACAGCAGTGTGTGTGTATGCGTGTGTGTGTGCGTGTGTGTGTGCATGCGTGCGCGCGCGCGTGTATGTAACAAAAATGAAAGCAAACCACTGATGGGGAAAAATTTTGTTGAAAAAATGTTTACCCTTCTCTGTCCGTCTCTTTTATCTCTTTATGTATCCAGTCTCCTTAACCCACAGTGGGGTCAGAAGCCTACAGCAGTGCTATTAAATACATAAACAAGCAATTAACTGACCACAGGATAACTGATATTTCATCCAATTTTTCCCAAAGTTAATTAATTTTTTATTTGCTCTGCATTATTACAGGATTTGGGGGTGTGGGGACAGGGGAGGTGTCTAAACAAGCAGCTTTCAAAGGAAATCCCAAATGCTCTATTGTCAAAGATTTCAGAACAGTTTTTGTGTTTTAAAACACGAGACAAAAACAGTAGGTATTTTTTCTCATTTATGATGATGTTTAGTTGCAAAATTTGTGTCATCCCTATTGATCTAATATTCAGTGATTCATTAGACAGCAATTTAATACTGAATCTTTAAGTAATTTGAGGAAGAGTTTGACAACAGAAAAGTAACATTTAGAAGTGGAATGTATTGCAAGGAAAAGAAGGTATTTGAATGCTTAGTTTTCAAAAGAATTTAATAAAACTAGCTAAATAATTATTATTTAGCTCTCAACTTGAAATCATCAAATCTCCTTTTTATTTGGCAAAATCAAGGTAGAGATTTTATTCCCTCTTTCAGTTATTTAAAGGTAAAGTGTGTGTGTGTGTGTGCGTGTGTGTAAACTAACCCCATTCTGTCTTCTAAGACTCTTAAATTGGAGACCAAGTCCAGGAAGACAGTAAAATTGGTGAACCAAATACTGAATTACTGGGTTGAAGTGACTGTTTCTTTGTGGTAATTGACTGAATGGTCCCGAGTAATCTGTCTTGTCACCTTGGTACCAAACCTGCGAAGTCTGGCGTGTGGGATGTTAGGGTGGCAGCTTGTGGTATCACAACACTGAGGCAGTTTGCTCGTGTCTTTGTTAGCAGAGAGTCTAGTTCTGACATCCAAAGTTCTAGCTGTAAATGTGTAGTGATTCATGACAACTTTGGGCGTCATGAGTGTGCCCAGCGGCAGGCAGGTAAGGGAGCCTCATTCTTTGACAGCAGAGTACATGGATTCTGACTGCGTCAGATGATCCTGATGCATCGTAACCTCACTTTTCCAGTCCCCATGTCTCTGCAACTGTGGAAGCAGCCAGAAGGGGCAGATTTCCATTAGATTGGCAACTATTCATATTTGCCGCAGCTCTGGTAACGCATAGGAGAAACATAACTTTTCAAAAGGCTGTTTACAGCTCAAAAAAAAAATTAATGCTTTCTATTATCTTTACAGGGGAGTCTCTAATCTAGGATTGAACAGAAGTAAAAATATACAGAGTTAGGGAAATAAGGAAAGGGAAAATTAATTATGACTATGAAATGTAACTAAGGAAAAATACAGCATTTTCAGTTGACACTTGTAAAAGCTTAATTGGATAGAGAAATTTCTTTATGTCATCTCGCACACATCACATTCTTGGGCAATCCAGGGCCCCATCTTGACCCTGATGGTCCTATGCCCCAGTGTAGCGTGCTGACTTTGGTGAAACTTGTTTCTTTTTTCTTTTGCTAAGTGGAACTTCTCTGTTAACTATTCTTTTTCATAAATATTCCCTTATTTTTTTTTTAAGTATGAAACATTTTGACCTATAAACAGCTCTATGCTTGAGTTTATGCTAGAATAAATTTGCAGTTTGCTTTCAATGAGCTCTCTTTTGAAGAGAGAATTTAAGTGTTTTACTTGTCTTTCATCGTTATTGCAGGCGAACCCCAAGTAAAGCGCCTCATGTGCTGTCCCCTTTCCCACAGCTTGCTCTGTAACAGCAGTCTCCGGAAGCTCCTGGCGGGCCACAACCAGCTGGCCAGGCTGCCCGAGCGGCTGGACAGGACCTCGGTGGAAGTACTGGACGTGCAGCACAACCAGCTCCTGGAGCTGCCGCCCAGCCTCCTGATGAAGGCCGACAGGTGAGCGCCGCTTCGTTGAGGTGGGAGATGCACCGTGTTAGCCCTCCTGACCTGTAGGCCCCGCCAGCATCCACATGCACTTTCTGGATTCATAAAGAAAATGCTGTTGTCAGTCCCCTCTGGCCATTTTGTCGGGGGATGGAGGCAAGGCGTAGCCTGGCGCATCTTCATGAAGTTCCCTGCCCTGGGAGAAGTGAGCTGAGCTGTGCATCAGCACGTGCGTGTGCTGGAGGCTGGAGCCAGCTTGCTGTGACCAGTCACTGCCTGGTCAGAACGTGGATGGTTGTTCCGGCCTTCGTTGCCTGAGCATCTCTGCTCTTTTGGGGACTTGGAGTAATGGACACAGCTTCCTAGAGCTTGCTTAGTTTTCTTGTTTTGGCCACTTCTCACCTTTCCCTGGGTTTTCCCTTCCACTTAAGTACAATATTTATGTTTGGGCACACAGAATAACTTGTTTTAAGTATTTAAAGATTATTTTGCTGTGTGTGGAAGTTAAAACATTAAATGAAATTGGGTTTCTGTCATGAGCTGCTTGCATGTCGAACTTCCTGTAAAGAGAGTGCAGACTGGCTGTGGAACATCTTGTTTGCCTCGGGGCCCTTGGGCACTTTACTAAAATGCTTCTCAGCCTGGTGCTCTGAATCATTTGACTTGTGCTAATGTTTATTTGAGTGAGTAACCCTAGCTTTAGAGACAGTATAAAGGACTGACTTCAGACAATGCAAAGGATTCACTCAAGATAAAGACAAAAAGGTGAAGGTTAATGTTGTGCTTCTCTACAAGAAGGAAGAGATGTGGATCGTATTGACCAAGGAAGTAAATTTGAGGTCTTCTTCAGCGTGCGAGACTCCTCTTGGTGAAATATTCCGGCAGCCTTGGCTCTCTCACGCAGACACCCAAGCTACTCCTGTGCCTTGCTAGACACAGACTGCAGTGTCATCTTGCGTGCTTGTCTGTCCTCGCTCCCAGTATGGTCTCTGTGGGCCTAGTTCCAGTGTCTTAATTATACCTTTATCCTCAACATCTTGCACTGCTCCTGGAGTAAAAAAGCCAAGTGCTCAAGAAATATTTGTTTAATGAGCAATAAAAAGTATAAGAAATTTTAAATATTACATTCACTCTCCGGAGGGCTGTTTGTTTTAAAAATAATTTTATCAAGATGTTACTTACTAGGGGAAAAGTATACAGCTCTTAAGCATTCTGCTCAATGGAATTTTTCATTTGTTTTATACCCTATCCAGACAGAGAACATTCTAGCACTCCTCTCCTCTCGTACTGTGCTTAATGTAAGTTACCATGAATTCCTACAGGAAAAATTACAGAGAAGTAATGGGATTGTGAAACAAGTGGGATTGTTTTATTGTACTTGACCGGAGCTCTAGCATTCCCCTGACAAATGGCAACATTTCAAGAGCATTTGAAGACTTGTTCTTGCTTTGGCATTCATATCAGAGCATGGTGGAGCATGCGGCAGCTGTGGACAGTGCTTTCCGTTGTCAGGATTTGATTCTCCCCCTGTGGAGAATTCTAAGCTATATTGCAACCTTATGTTCTCTTTCATAAGGCAAAAATTGGATGCTGTTTTATAATGGTAATTCAGTTGTTCTCCTGCGGGTCTACCTGAATCTGTGCAAGTGCACTGATGGATTTAGGCTGAGCGTCTTCGACATAAAGCCGTTTCTGCATCTGCCCAAGCCTGATAAATTCATCACCAATAGAGTAGCTGACCAGCTCCGGAGCTCTCCAGTGGACACTCATTCTTTATTCATTGCTGTGGACTTGGTTTTAAAAGGACACGGCTATGCAGACTTTATGCTCCAGAGGTAATCAGGAAGCAGTCGTCGAGTTTCCTGGTGCCTGGGTAGATCTGAGAGCACGTCCCTGAGGGAGCTCAGAGATAGGTTGGAAGGCAGTGTTTCCAGGGTAAAGCCAGGGTTTCAGTGGGCAACTGTAACGTGCATGGTTTCCCACGTGATTCTGCTTCCTGCTGGGGTTGAGAACCACCACACGAAATGCTACCTGTGTGGCCTTGCACAGGTCATGGGATCTCAGCATCCCACCTTCTGTACTTTATACAGCTCCCAAGTGGAATCTGTAAATTGGAAAAGGGAGGGCTGTGTGAACTGGAATATTTCCTGGTAACACAATATGGAAGATTTGAGCCACCAAAAAAACATTGCCGTCAGGGAGAGCATAAGCCGAGTTAATGGTGTGAGCTGAGGTGTTAAGGCAGAAACATCAGTAGTCCCAGTGGGTAGGTCTGTCCAGAGACAACTGCATTTTGGAAAAGTGGGGCTACTGTGGGAGTCGGCCACTGTGCGTCTCAGGAGGAGACGTACATTCATTTTAATGAATTTTGGGGTGAAGAATGAACTAGTCCTAAACAGTTGTGAGGTCAACCCAGAAAACATGAAGTTTAGAATATTAAAGAGAGTTCTTGTGAGAAGCTCCTTGCGGGGGGTTTCAGTGGTGATTGGTTTTTTGTTTACATGGTTCAGTGCAACAGCCTCTTACTGACCTGGTAAGTTTTAAGTCACTGAGCCAGATGTTGTAGGGGATTGAGAAAACATAGGAGCTTATCCTCTAGAAGCTTACAAGCTAAGGCAGAATTTAAAATAGCTACACAATAAGCCATAATCAAAAGTAGGCTTGCTTGGATAAAAGGGAAGAAAATGGTACAGTTAATTTTAATTTAAGCTCCTGGACAACATTTTTTTTGCTGGTATATAGCTGTGTGTTTGCTAAATTAACTTCTATCCAGTTCTCCTTCAATTTGCACTGGGATACAAACCTCAAAAATATGTGAGTGCTCCTTTTTTATTTTGTACGTAGTAAGTTATTGCTATTTGTTCCATGTTTGGTTATGCTAGGAAGGAAAGGGCCTTTGCAAGTTAAAGTTAAGGTCTTTGTAAGTTAAAAATGCAGTTTGTGTTCTCAGTAAAATTTGAGCATGGAAACTTCAAGAGAATGGCCGGGTAAAAAACAAAACAAAACATGAGCTATTGGACACACAGCAAGGCTGAACTCAGACTCAGTAGTTTTTCTTTAGTGCCAGAGCTTATCTGCTAATTCTAATGTTTAATTAATGGTTTTAATGATACAGTATTGTCTGTTAAATATCACAGCTCTAGAATGCTGTATAACCCACTGTGCCTGGTGTCAGGAAGGCATCCGCAGTCAGGTAATGGAAGGGAGTCTACTTTAAACTAGATGACTTCTAGTGATGTTTTTATCTTCCATCTTAAGCGTTAGATCAGTTTTATTAAAATTCTTAAGTGTTGAATCAACAAATTCAGTTTCTGAGTTTACTCTCCATATTCATTTTTGAGTTTTGTTTATTGTGACTTGATTTTTTCACGGGCAGCACAAAAACTATAGATAGATATGAAATTTTGATGGAGCATATGTTGCTGAGGTCATTGATTTTTTTCTACCTGGATAGCAGGGTAAGGCTGGTTCTGTGGGTGAAGCAGCGAATATTCTCATCTGTTTCTTATTGGCCTGATCTCTCATTTTACTTTGTTTTACTTAGAGTTGAGTATCTTCTTGAAGGAAACCCCCAAAAGAGTTTCAGATAACCAGTTCCCAGCACCAGATGGGCATGGGATAGGGCACAGGCTCCCCTTGGGTCACTAGAGAGTGTGGATGAGGTTCTCCTAGCCTTTTCTTCCTAAAACCCTGGCAATGGCTGACTCTGTCCATCTTGCAGCTGCACACTCATTCAGTGGCCTGATGAGGTCAGTCTGATCAACAAAGCCATAACTAATCTTCTGAAGGACAGTTATGCTTCCTGTGGATGAACACCAGTGTCTGCCTTCATCCCTGTTTGGAGAGCACTGGGTATTTTCGGGCGGGGGAGGCGGAAGCATGTATGTACAAATGCAGTGCATGGTAATTATTGAATATCCCTGGCGTGTTAGTCACATTGCAGACCATAAGCTTTAGTGACTCAGATAGAACAAGTGTAAATATCAAGGGTACTAAACAGGAAGAGAGAATTTAGGAGAGCGTGATTGATTGACCATTACAACTGGTGCCTTTTGGCAAAGACAGGCATTTCTGGCATTTTGGGGAACTGAGTATTCTACTCCATTTTTTTTAAGTGAAGAGAATTATCTTGTGAACTTCCGGTGTTTTGAGGAACAAAACAGTGGAATAAAACCATATTTCTGAGAGTGGCTCCAGAATCCCATGGATTATTTATTAAGCATGCAGATTTCTGGTCCTTAGTTCTGTTGATTCAACTTGGCTAATCATCAGACTTCTAAATTCTGTAAATGTGGAATACATACCCTGGCTACTTAATAGGAACCTCTGGGGGTTGAAATTGAGAAGCAGTTGCCTTCAGATGGGCCGGCTGGGCACTGAGAAGGACACACCCTCACTTCTCTATACTTTAGCCAAACATGCATTACCTTGTTCTGATGAGAACAAAACATCAAACAAAATTAAAGTGGGAGACAATCCACATAACTATCTAGCCCTCTTCGAAGGTGTCAAGGCCATAAAGTGTCAAGGTCATACGAGACAAATAAGACTAGCAGAGGAGATTAAGGAGACAATACTGAAATGCCGCATGGGATCCTGGATTGGATCCTGGACCAGTTCGAAGACATCAGTGGGATGGTAACTGGTGAAACTGAAATAAGGTATGAGGTTAATTTAGAGTGGTGCATCTCTGTTGGTTGATTTTTAATTATACTTAATTTTAAAAGCAAGTTATTTTTGAATCTTGTTGAACAGTTCCTGCATCTGTATATTAACTTTAGTTCATGTAGTCTGTACGCTAATGATCTTTACATTATACCAGCCAGGCAGATAGATTTTCAGACCTTCCAGAATAATATGTGGATTCTGTTAGGCTCTCTGTGCTTTATCTTCACAGGTGAGCTTCATGATTCAGTGGCCTTGCCAGATAGTAATGGTGGTTCTTTTTCTCAAACTAATGAGTGGGATGTGACCTTAATTCCATGAGTTTTTACAGCACTTTAAAAAGTTAAATGGAATAGAAAATACCATTTGAGATCCAGTAAGGTTAAGTATTGTTTCATAAAACTTTTTCAGTGTACATGTTTATGTTACATCTTTACTGGGTGTAAATTATAGCTTATACTCTGGTTAGCATCATAAACAGTTCAAAAGGCTTCAAGAGCTATTAGCCATGGAGAGAGATGGGATTGTTAGAAGTGCCGTGTTGCAAAGACAGATGGGGAGGAAACTAGAGCATTTGACACTTTTGGAAGACTTGGGATCAGCAATCAGGGGTTGTCTAAAGCAGAAGAGATTTGCTAGGCTGAGGATCTTAACCTTTTGCATTTTTAGTAGAATACAAGTTACAGTGTTGAGCGCAAGAAAAATTAGTTAAATGTAGGACACTGGAGTGTGTAGGCAAATCTGTGCTCCCAAATCCATGCTTTGTTTCAGGGATAGGCTCTGACTGTAAATGTTACAGGTGTGCGAGAAAATTGCTGAAAAGCAAACAAAAACAGAACCACAAAGTCGAGATGAGCCGAGCAGTTGGGCAGACCGCGCCCACAGAGCAGGAATTGCTCAAGTAGCAGGAAAGGGGTCGTGGCACTGCTGTGGTGGCAGCTCCAGACGCATTAGGGCCTCCCTGAGGCTTGCTCTCTGTGACTTGTAAGTTCTCTTAGGAATGGGCTTGGGGCGCTGTGTGCCTGACCCTCCCGCTGCCCGGCAGGCGCTCTCCCTGACCACAGCTTTTTTAGGACTGTGGCATTGTCCTCGGGAAAGTGTTTCATTGTGACTATTTTTACATTTGGATTTTAGAGAGGTGTATGAGGTAATAGTGAACTCTTGAGATCTGGATTTTATTTCTGACTCTGGCATTAGTTGTCATTTAACCATGACCAAATGATTTGACTTCTCTCAGCTGCGGTTTCTGTCTCCTGTGAACTATGAGGGGTGCATCTCTGGGATAAAGGGAGAACTAGAAGAAATAGAAGTTAGGAAAGAGTTGCAACCTCTACAGGGGATCATAGAATTGGGAAAAAATGGCAACATGGTACTGCTTTTTCTCCCGTTGATAGCGGGTCGCATGGCGACAGGTCGTGTTGATGAAACACCTTTGGCACATGAACCAGGCTTGGGCAGTTATCACAAACACCGGTGAGGGTGAAGTGGAGGAGGTTATCACCTCCTTTTGAGATCAAACTGAGTGCTTTAGGGTTTTAGCATTTTGGAGGTTTTGAAAGAAGGGCCAAGGTTACCCTGGTTCTTGAACAAAACTGTTCTCCATACCCGAGAAATAGTGCTCTATTAAAGTAGTTACTCGTTTTGGTGGGAGTACAGCACTAGACCATGATGCCAATTAATTTGTCTCCTGTTGAAACATTGGGAGATTGTGGATGTGTCTTATTAAGAGGATGGGTATGGGATTGCATTTTTCTGAGACCATTATAATAAATCATTTCCGTCCAGTTGTTTGCTCTCTGGCCATTAATTAGCAAGATGAGTCGGTCTGGCTTTAGTAAGCTCAAATGAACTCCTTTGGAACGAGGCAGGTAGTTTCATTTCCTGGAGCAGCAGGATTAGCTACTTCCCTGCTTGAGTCCCTGCCAAGGGCATAAAGCACCTTCAGTACAGGAACTTTCAGCAAGACGCCAGGGCGCATCTCGCAGGACTAGAGAGGGCTGCCTCAGCCGCTTTCACACTTTCTAGATGCGCATTCATGTGTCTGTCTGCTCCCTTTCAAGACAAACAGCTCCTCTTCTTCTGGCATAAAACTCGGAAAACATTTGTGAATCTTTCTCTCTGCGCCCTTTTCTTGCCACGGATGTGTCTGTAAATGTGTCTTTCCTAAAGAATTGGGGTTTAACGAGACTGTCAGTGTCCCAGCAGGGCCCAGTCCATAGGTTTTGGGCAATAATTTTTCTTTTTTTCTAATTCTACATTGAAGAAATTCTTAGAAGAGTTTTAAAATCAGGTCGATATAAATGGAGCCTAAAGAAACAAATTCATAAAAATAAAAAACGATGGTGCTGAAATTGGTTTCCTTCCGAGTTCAAAACCATTTCAGAAACTGCTTGAATGACCTTTATTTTCTTCTCTGTAGCACACACGACTATAATTTCCCATGACTATTTATGGTCTGTACAGCTCTTTTCTAACTTCCTTTTTTAAAAAAATGTCAACGGAATACGTGTTTCTTTAATGGAAAATGTTCTATTTTGGGGAAGCTGCTTTTCCTCAGATAGTAGTGGAACTGGGGGTGGTGGTATAAGTAAGTGGTGGGGGTTGCAGGATTGGAAAGTGTTAAATTAGTGGATTTAGAGCTTGGAATCACAGCCCTGCTGCGGGCCCCTGGGTGTACAGTGCTCTTTTTAAACCCAGGATTAAGAATACCTGTGCTTGCTATTCCATCTTCTCCCTTTTGAAGAAAAATTGTATTCTTTTTTCCAAACATACACATTGGCAGAATAGTTCTGAATTGAATACTAAAAGTTTCAAGCCCAGGCGCCTTTAAAACAGGAGAATGGTGAGCCACTTACAGGGTAGGTCCAGGTAGAGCAACATGCCACTTTGACCTTGGTAACAATGGTGGCCTTTGGGGAGCCCTCTGTGTTGCATGGCTGCAGCTTCACCATGGAGCACAAACTAGAGGCCCAAGGCCAAGTGGGAGGTTCCTCTGTCTGTCCTCTACCCCCCCTTCCCCCTCCCCTTCCTTCCCTCTCCTTTCTTCCCTTACCCACCCCCCACTCCTCTTCCCTCCCCTCCCTTTCCTTTCTCAGTGATTTGGAACCTGATTCCTGCAAGGACTCTGATTTCAGTTCTCTAGTTTTGCGTGGTGTGTTGTGAAACATAATAATTGTGCTTCATAATAATCACGGAAAGATTGCACTTTTTGACGATTCTAGATACCTTAGGTATGAAAGCATTCTTTTGTTTTATCTAGCATTCATTCTCATTGAGCAACTGTAGCATATCTGTCTTATTTGTTTTGTTTTGTTTTTAAAGATTTATTCATATAGAACTGGGGTACAGGCCAGAGATGTGGAGGGTGAGTGGATTCACCAGAGACAGAGTGGGGAGCAGAACAGGCAGATCAATGAAGGACACTGCTGAGGGGAACAGCGGGCGGGTCAGGAGAGGTCTGCCGCGCCATGTGGTCACCTCCCGGGCAGGCGGGAATCGAACTCATGAGAAGTGGCTTAAGCTTCTCAGTGCTGTGCTTTAACCTGCTGCGCCACCAGGGAGGGCCACATATGTATTGTTTTAATACATATTTTATTGAAGTCTAATGTAAATATAGAAAAGGGCAAGTTGTAAGTGTAGCATTTGATGGATTTTCTGAAAGTAGTAGTCTGTGTGACCAGAATCCAGATTAAGAGCCAGAGGATTGTCATATTAAAAAATTAGATCCCTGTCTAGACGCTGCCCCACCCTCACCTCCAACCTCTGAAATCTGCCTGATTCTGCAGTCTGTAGAACCATGCACTGTGTTTCTTACCGGCTTATTGCACTCTTTTTGTGAGATTTATCCCATCTGGTATATGTGTTCATGGTTTTCATTTTACTGCTGTGTAATATTCCATTGTTTTAATATAGAACACATAATTTCCTACACTCGTGAATGTCAGTAAAAAATGCTTTGCACTTCATGGTGAAAAGGACTTAGTAACTGATTTAGTCATCATGTGAGGCAGTGCCAGATTGGCTATTGCTATAAGAGCTCATCTTTGTGCTTCCATAAAAATTAATTTCTTTCTTTGTATTTACCTCACGTACCCATATATAGCTAGCGATTGCGTTCGCCACGGAGAGTGGAGTTCGGCATCCAGGTGCTTGCAAAAACTAGGCTGCTCTTTAAATTCAGTCTCTAAGCCCAGTTTTCCACATGCCAGGCATAAATCAGAAAACTTCTCCATTTGTTCAGGCTTTCAGACTAGAGCTCTGACATAGCAACAGGATTTTGTTGCATTTTATCATTGCAGCCTGAGATTCCTGAATGCATCTGCAAACAAACTGGAAGCCCTGCCTCCAGCCACACTTTCTGAGGAGACGAGCAGCATCTTGCAGGAGCTGTATCTGACAAACAACAACCTGACAGATAAGTGCGTGCCCTTGTTGACGGGCCACCCCCACCTGAAGGTCCTCCACGTGGCCTATAACCGCCTTCAGAGCTTTCCAGCAAGGTAAATGAGGATCACAAGTGTGTTTTTGACTGCATTTCTGAAAATGGGCACATAGATGGAAAGGTGAAAGCTAGAACGCTTATTGTCCCAATAATGTAAAGCTTGTTCCTCTTTGATTCTTATCCTCAGTTGTGTTTTACATACATCACAGACAGCATCTCCTGAAGAGAAAGGTTGGGTTTTCTAATGTGACTAGGTTCACTGACCCAGTAACTAGAATATTCTTATGATTTTGGAACATTTGGATGTTCCTTAGCAAGTATATATTTCTTACTCCTTTTTCAAAAAAAAAATTATTAATTTATGCATACAGGAACTGGTAAGAGGATTCACCAGAGACAGTGGGGAACAGAATAGGAAGACTGATTGAAACACACTGCTGAGGGGAGCAGTGGGCAGTGAGACAGGAGAGGTCTGTTGCGCCATGTGGGTCTGCTCCCTGGCTGGAGATCAAACTGGTGCTGCAGTGGCTGTAGATAGCTTCATAGTGCTGCGTTTTAACCTGTGGTACCACCAGGGAGAGCCGTCTTTTACTCCTTTTAGATAGTCCAGTTAATACAAACATTTTTTAAAAATTAGCCTACAGTGTTGTGTGGGAAATAGATGTAATTGGTCTTTGTGCCTGTGATATAAAAAGCACTGGGGACCCCTGCAGCTTCGGAGGCTGTGTGGCAGTACAGATAACCGCTCTTGGAAGTTTCCATTTCCCCTCATATCTTACTTTCTGGATATTGGGTGAGTGAATCCACACCCACAGCCAGGCGTGAGGCTTCTCTGCACTTCCAAGGCCCTGGCAGGTCTCCACTCGGAGCACATGCCCACACATCAAGGACGCTAACAGCAGTCCTAGGGTATTTTGCTGCTGACTGCAAATCAGCACTGGGCCAAGGCGAAGTACTGGCACAGGCCGCCCCCGGCTCCCGGCCTGCCTTGGCTGCGCTCAGGGACTGCGCTCAGGCACGGGCCGCCACTCGCCGCCTGAGCGCTCACTCTCTCGGGGTGTGTTGGGCTTGGGGTTTGTGCCGTCCCTTGTTTTTGCCCCTCACTTGATGTTTATGATTAAACTTGTGTTCTGTTTCTTACTTTCATTTTGCCAAGGGATGAGGTTTGCGATGTTTTAGTCAGAAAATACAGTGATCTCATGACAGTTTATCTCATGACAGTTTATCTGGAAGGACTCGCACTGCTCAAGTGCTGAATGCCCAGGTCCCGCCCAGGGCAGGAGGTTTCCCCTGTGGCCAGGCCCGAGTTCGCCTCATGCAGAGTTCCATCTTGCTGTCATCTCCGTCTCTCGGGGGACCGTGACTCACTGCGTCCTCAGCCAGCTTTCCTCAGGAGTGCGGGCGTGACTCGCTTGTGTCCTTCAGCCCTGCCTCCCCGAGGTCTAGCGCGGTGTGGACTCTGCGCTAGGCACAGTGACTGCTTCGTGCTCTGACTGCCTTTCTGTGTGGAAGGGCAGAGCTGGCCCTGGGCCTGATTTCTAGACTTGCCGTCATTTTCCAGGCCCACTACCCATTATTTTCTGTGTACTTCTTTTCCAGACATGATGATAACATACTCAATGAAGAGTCTGGCACTAACTTTTGAACATTTTGAGGAGGATTTCATTGCATAAAACTATACAGCAAAGCAGTCGCTGTCAGCATAACCTAATGCACACACATGTTAAAAGGAAAAGGACATTCATTCCTAAGTTACTAGTTTGAAGAGTTGAAGTTAGTTTTTTTTTGTTTGTTTGTTTTTTGTCATAGGAAAGGCGACGTTACAGTACGTAGATACTACAGCAAAATAAACTGTCCTTTACTAAAATGACTCGCACAAGGAAATCTTTAAGGAATCTTTAGCACCACAGCAAATTTCCCCCTGGTTCTTATTATTGTTTTCTTTTTAAATTGCCTTGTGGACCCTTCGTGACCCTCTCCCCCATGGATCTCATCCTTTTTAGTAAAATGGCAAAGCTGGAGGAACTAGAAGAAATCGACGTGAGCGGGAACAAGCTGAAGGCCGTCCCCACCACCATCACAAGCTGCAGGCGCTTGCACACCGTCATCGCCCACTCCAACTGCATCGAGGTCTTCCCCGAGGTCATGCAGCTCCCAGAGATCAAGGTGTGTGCTTGGGGCTCCGCTTTGGCCCAGCCGCGGCACGTGTATTCTGACTCCCCGTTCAGGACGCTTGCAGGCTTGTGGGATTTCCTCAGGGTGCCCTGCTTCGCCGTCCTTGCTCCATCCTTCTGAGCCTCTGGGCCTCACTACGCTGCTGAGCTGTCAGAGGGGGAAATCAGAAACGAAAACACGGGACCCGGGGCGGGAAATTTGTGTTTCCCTTGTGGCGGGGGGTGCCACAACCACTCAACTCTGCCGCCCGTCTGCCAGTTCTTGTGCCGCTTGTTTCCAGGCTGGATGGGAGACCCCCGAGGTTGAGGCAGGTGTGCGAGCAGTTTGTAGAAGTTACCAGTACTGGCCCTCCCTGGTGGCCCAGCGGGCTAAAGCTTAGCACTGCAAGCGAGACACAGTTGCTCCAGTGCGAGTTCGATCCCCGCCCTATAGGTGACCCCCACGGCGCGGCAAAACTCTCCTGACCCGCCCGCTGCTCCTCTCAGCAGTGGACTTCGCCCGTCAGCCTGTTCTGCTCCCCGCTCTGTCTTTGGTGATTCCTCTCACTACCCCTGCACCCCAGTGCATAAATAAATAAACCTTAAAAAAAAAGTTACCACTGCTGCAGGGGGTCCTCCCCCGCCCCGCTGACTCCATGTTCAGGCGGAGCATCGCTGTCAGCAAACGCTCACCTCAATTTAAGGAACCCGGCAGAACAGTTGTGATTCCCTTTTGATAGGTGAGGAAACTGGGCTGCTGAGAACGGAGTGACTTGTGTAGACGGCGGCCGCAGATGGGGCAGGGACTCGGGGGGGACAGCGAGCCCCTGGAATGAGAGCCGCCTGGCAAAGTTTATTCCTGTGTTTTTGGTGCAAAAGTCACAGATCCTTTATGTAACTAACCAGAGTCTTTCATTGGCACTCGAGCATATCCGATTAGCACGACTCGTGTTTACAGACCTAGAGCCCGTTTAACCCCAAAAGGAACAAAAGCCGCCGCCCTCAACCACGCGTCACTGCTCAGGCCCCCCTGAAGTCAGCTTTACGTGCCAGATGACGGCATTTCAGAGACATCTGAAGGCAGTTTGACCAGCTTGCACACATTTCATGAAGCCTTTTTTGTGCATTTACATGATTGAGGTGCAAATCAGACATTTCATGGGTTTGTGCGCTCGCACGTGTGTGCGTGTGCGTGTTTGCTGACAGCCGTGCGCTTTGCACATGGCCTTCCACACACTGGTGTGGCACTTCAGGATGTTTGTCACAAACGTGAAGAAAGATTTCACTTTTACTTTCTACAGAGTGCTTTCCACAGTGGTTACGAGGCAGCACTCTGAACAGAGGCCGATCTGGATTCCCACTCATGTGGCTTCAGGCCCAGTTACTTGATTGCTGCATCTCCTCCTCTGTAACATGAGGGAAAGAAGAGTCATTTCTTCACAGTACTGCTGTGAAGAGGAAATGAAGGAATACGTGTCCGGCGTTTGAAATGGGAGCGGCACATAGTGCGAACTCCATCAGTGTCAGAATTAACCCGAGTTTTCCGTCAGGTGCAGCCGTGGTGGTGATGATGGGGGCGACCGCTCGGCCGCCTGTCAGCCACGTGTGCGACTCTGCTCCTTCAGTAAAGCCTCTCGGCGCGGGTGTGCGCTGTGGTCCTCCGTGGGCCCGTGGGCCCAGCTCCCGGGGCTGGGGCATGGGGGAGCAGCCCAAGACCCGCCCGGCGTTTGCTGGCCGCACTTTTGTCCGTTTAATGCAGTATTGCAGTTCATGGTAGGATTGGGTTTAAATGCAAATAGACATTCAGACATTACAGATTTTAACTAAACTGTGCAAGCTGTGAATCTTGCTCTGTGAAAATGCATCCTCTCCAAGACTCTGCCTTGGATTCCTGAATTCTACAGATAGAGGTTTTGTTGTTGGGCGTCTGTGGGAAGGGATGAGCGATGTCAAGTATGTTTTATGTACAAAGTGTAGGTTTTGCAGCTTTGGACAGATGGTGTTGTTTTTACAGTGTTAGTATGCAGAATGAGGGGCACCCCAGAACCCCTGAGCTTGCATACTCTACATGGGTTCTCCCTTCCACTGCATAAAGATGGCAAACTCTTAATGTGAAACAAATTTAATAGATTAGTGTGCATAGAGAGAGAAGACAAGAAAGAATGTAGGTTCCCAATAAAATGCCTGATGTTACCCATGCCCTCGTGGGCAAATGCCCAGCCAAATAGGGGCGGCCCAAACCGAGGCCACCGAGGCCCAAGGCTTTCCAGGACCCTAAGGCATCTCTGCTGGGGAATGATAAGAGACAGAAGGGGCTGGGCAAGTCTGAGGTGAAGGGAGCAAAATCAGCAATCCACAGCTGCCACCGCCACCCTCCCACGGCTCCCTCCCCTGTGTCTTCCGAGTGCCTCAGCTCAGCGGGCCTCCTTGCACGGCCCCCACAGCCCGGTGCATTTCCAGAGCTGAAAGGGAAGCAGAACTTCGTCAGTGTCTCTCTGCCCCACGAGGCTCCTCCCAGTCTCCTGCTTCTCCTCGCTCCACCCGTCATTAAGTGGGGCAGGGGCCATGAACCTCCCCTCTTTATGGAGATCACCTGTAGTTAGTTCATGTGTTAGAACTCTGACATTTTAGTGTTTCACATGAGAATATTTTAAGTTGCAGTTTGAGTTTTGACACACATATTTAAACCACCTAAAAGAAAATTACTGATAAATAGTTGCTGTACCCTAACCTATGAAAGCCCTCACTGCAAACTGAAACCTAAAGCATGCTTTCAATGTAAAAGAAATAATATTTTCCTGAGTTGAGATACTCCAGCCTACATTAAAACTGGACTGAGTTAATAACCCTAAGTTATAGCATATTGAAAATAAAGTGAAGTCTGAAGTGTTTTGGTAAATAAGATCATTTCATTTATACAAACTTGCAGATAACATAATTTAAAGATGAAGAGATCATGGTATATTTAACTAGCTAGTTTGCTCCAAGCTGTCTTTCTTTAAGAGATTCAAAGAAAGTGTTTAGTTATAGTTTTGTGGCCAAAGCCTTAAAATCTATTATTATTTGAAAGGTTAAACACATTACTTTAAAAATTCCAATTGCTCTCTGGCGAGATCAGTAAAGAAGTTTCTCTCTGCTTTAGTCCTGTGCCCCGAACTGAGGAAAGATACCTAGAACAGTTGGGGGTGGTGCTTCTCCAGTTGTGGGTTTATCAGTGAACCGGTCTTCTCTATATAAAAATCTGATTTTACTCTCAGAATAAAGATGAAGTCTCCCCACCTCTCTCCAGACACCCCAGACTCCTAAACACAGAGTCAGTATTCCTGGCCTACTCTGTTTCTCTTTAGAATTCATAGCCATTGAATTTTCTACAAGGTGCTTCTGAATTTTTAAACTTGATAAATGTATCCATATTCTTGTGCCCTGAAGCAGAAACTATAGGTGCCATCTAATCAGATAAAATTTACTTCTGGTTATTTGGCTGGGTTTTTCTTTTTCTTTTCTTTTTCTTTTTCTTTTTGATAACCAGTGAGGTCACTTAGTGCCATCACCAGACATCAGTTTCTGGAGTTAGGGGAAGGTCAGAAAAAGTATTTTTCAGCATTTTCTGGTGAGCCCAAGTGTGTCTGAGGTCCACACACAGCTCCTCAGTGTGACAGACCCCACCCTGGCGAGCACTTTTAATTGACCTTCAAAGCCCCACACGGTCTTGACGTCCCGGCACAGACCCTGCCCAGTGGAGCACTTTTCCTCTCCATGGTGATCAGCATGGGCCACTGGGCAGGAGAACACGGCCCTGGAGGCCCCACATAAGCAGGCTGGATCGTGGAAGCGACTGCTCATGGCCGATGACGCCACAGCCACCTGGCCGGGGACTGGCCCTCAGTTCAGGTCTCCGCCCTCCGCCGCACCCCGCCGCTCACGGCCTTGGTGAGGGAGTCTTGCCCCAGCCTTTAACTGAGCAGTTGCCAATTAGTAACTTATTCTAACTCTTTTGAACTGTGTTTAAACAGCTGAAGTGAATGTGTTGACACATGGTGAATGAAATTTGTAATTTAAATACCGTGTCAGCAACTTTGTCAGACTTTCCATGTTCCCATGATATCTTGATTCTTATTAACCAGGTGAACAGCATTTTTTCAAATGCCTTAAATTTTCTTCAGAAAATTATTTTCATGTTTGTGCTGTGCCATAGTAAACGGTTTTTACTTAGGTACATGAGTGAAATTTTCTTTAGGGCCTGTGTTAAACTTTTGCTGGGAAGGGGATTGTGGAGTATTGGTAATGGGCCACTGTTGAAGTTGAACGTCTCTTGGAATCAAGCTCTGTCCCCGTTTCCAAAGTGAGGCGAGAGAAAGTAGCAGCTTCGTCGTAAAGACACAGAGAATATGCTGGATTAAAATGGGCGATAGAAAAGGGATTCCTTCTTTGGGAAGTCGGAAAATGGAAATGAAGACATACCAAGGTCCTTTAATTACCAGTTATTAATAGAAGGTCATCTCAGCGTCCGCACTGTATGTCCAGACGCCAGGAGCGGTCCCAGGATGAGCTGGGAGTCTGGGCAGTGGTCACTGAAGACACTTGCTGTAGATGCAGGGTCCTGAGTCCCGCTTGGAACAGGGTTCACTGCAAGAGGGAGGTGGCAGTGGCTGCTGGGAGGTGGCCATTGCTGGTCACTTTGCTCCCTGCCTCAGGAGGACAGGCCGGCAGGGTGCTAGACTGCATGTCCGCCCTCAGCGTTGATATCGTAGGTTGACTCAGACTAGTTTATTCTGTTTCTAAACTCTCATCTACAAATTTATTTCAGCAGATCTTTTTTTTTTTTTTTAAAGATTTATTTATTCATATAGAACTGGGGTACAGGCCAGAGATGTGGAGGGTGAGAGGCTTCACTAGCGACAAAGTGGGGAGCAGAACAGGCAGATCAACGAAGTACACTGCTAAGGGGAGCAGCGGGTGGGTCAGGAGAGGTCTGCCGCGCCCTGTGGATCTCCTCCAGGGCAGGCGGGATCGAACTCATGCGGAAGTGGCTTAAGCTTCTCAGTGCTGTGCTTTAACCCGCTGCGCCACCAGGGAAGGCCTCAGCAGATCTTTTTAACTCCGAGCCATACCCTTTTCTCCAAAAAACCATGTGCATTTTTCATAGTAGTTATACACACACGCAAATAAATAGCCGGCCCTGTCTGAGCTCTGCAGGGGCCGTGAGAAGATTCCCTAGAGACAGAGTGGGGAGCAGAACAGGCTGACTGAAGAGCTACACTGCTGAGGGAGCAGCGGGGAGATGGGAGAGGTCTGCCGTGCCATGTGGATCACCCTCCTGGCCGAGGATCGAACTCGTGCTGAAGTGGTTTTAGCTTCTTAGTGCTGCGCTGTAACCCGCTGCGCCACCAGGGAGGGCCCGCATCAGCAGTTTTTAACCTTGTGAAGGCGAAGGACTGGGAAGATGGTTCAGGGCCTTTGGGAGCCGCCTGCCTGTCGCAGCTCAGGCAGAGGTGAGCTGGCTGTGGTCTGGAGTAGGGAGAAGCAGGCTGTTGCAGAATCTCTCCCAACCTGTAGATTAAGTGGCTGTCTTAAGCATGGGCAGGCAGCTGTTTGGCAGATGATATATAACACCCTGCTAAGAAAATGGATAGGCCTATTTCTTCATAATGTTTAGTGAGGAAAATAGATTTATAAAGATATTTGAGCTTTCGTGACAGTTAAGCCATACATCAGATTGCATTCCTTTTTCCCCGATGCATGATTTCTCTATCTGAATGTTCTAATAATAATTTTCCTCTAAATCATGAGTTCCTTCTCAACAATGCATTATCTCACTCTTTGTTCCTGTTGTTCAGTATTCCTTACCAGAAATTCGTAGTATAACAAAGTAACCTAAGAGTAGGCATGAAGGAAGGAAAGGTAACTTGTGTCAGTCAGATTTTAGCCAGGTTGATGTTTTACTCAATGGGGTGTTTTCAAGAAGCGTTTAGTGAATTAAACAGAGAGGCACACCCTTTAAATAGCCACTTTCACTGCCAGCTGGTTCCGTCAGAAGTGTATGTTGAAGGCCTCACAGTTGGCCAGCGTTGGGGCGAGTAGTGAGTGCGAACGAGTGCCAGGCCAGCAGCTCGCCTGCGTCTGCAGCACATGGTGGCGCCGTGTAGCAGTGTCCCAGGGTCTTCAGGAGCAAGCCTCTTCAGCGTGTAGAAGCGCAGAAGGATGTTTCCCTGCTTCTCCGCCATTTCAGAAAGTAATGTCTTCTCCTGCAGGAATAAACAGTCGCGTTAAAACGCACCGGGATTGTATTGCGGTGCTACTTAGAATAAATGTAACTTATGCCTGTGTAGCTTGCACCTGTAATTGCTGAAGGGCTTACAAGGTTCATTTATCCATTCAGAGATAATGGGCTGTCAGGTACCAAGAAATGGGTGGGTTGGTTGTTTGTTAACCTTTGAGCGGAATCACGCGTGGAGCATCCTCTTTCAAGGCCCTGGAGGTGGGATATGGGCAGAGGAGAAGCAGTGCCCGCCCTCTGGAAGGCCATATCGAGTGGGAGAAACAAATAAGCAGAAACTTCTAGAAAGATATATGATTGAAACAGAAATTAGAAGAGAACGGGTACTGAGTCTTAAAAAGAAAGAGAGGTACTTTCCCCAGTTAAACTCATCTTTCTGTGCTAAAAAAGAATAAGACCATTTTAGCAGGTAAAAGGCAAGAAAAATGTGTCGAGTTTCATTTACAGAGAGTAGCATATAAGAGACTATAAGAGAACATGACAAATACAGGAACTAGAATTAACTTTGACACAGCTGAATATAGCGTTTGAGGAAGTGAGTGCTGAAGGAACCTTATTTGACATACTGAGGAATTCAGTGCAGGTTGAGGGGGGCGGGTGCCGGGGAACAACTGGAGGACTGTTGCTGGAGGAACCTCCGTGGTCACCGGACGGCTTTGGGAGCCGTGGCCAGAGGGACACGATACTAAAGCGAAGCGAGGCCTAGTTGTGCTCCTCAGGGGAAACATGATGCGGACAGAAACCAGGATAGGAGGTTGGGGAGAGAACTGGCTGCAGTGAATTCAGAACCTGGAGGCGGCATGGCCTGGCCCGAGCAGCCGGCGAACCCACTCAGAGGCGCTGCGTAACCGTGGCCAACCTTCGTTTTTTAAGTCAATGCCCTAATGAGCTCATCTGATAATCTGATAGTTTGAAGATTGAACAATTTCCTATCTGCTGACCCTTCTAGAAGTCCATAGACTCAGTCATGTTCCAGACTGCCTTCAGTCTTGCCCCTCCGCACGCTCTGGCCCTGGCTTTGTGTCTGTCGGCCCTGTGTCCTAGGCGACCCACACCTGGCCCGTCAGCTCACGTTCGCCACTACCTAGCCCACTGCACTGACACCTTCTTGTCTCGCCTGTGCTGATCTGCACAGAATGTACTGACAGAATTGCCCCTTATTAACCAGGGTGATCACAGTGTTCATTCAAACCAGTTGAGTATGCATGATGCCACCACTGTTTACAATAGTGGAAACAAACGAAAAGGAGATAATCCATTTCTGCTTATTAATGTTCAGATTAATAGTATTTCTTCTTACTACACTTCTACCTAAACTGGTTTGGGCTCTGAAAAGTGGTGGTGAGCATGAACACATGGAAAGTGCTTACAGCAGTGCGATTGATGACTAAGTGATGAAATAAAATTATACCCACACTGAGCGAGTTTTTTAAAGGATTTCTTTGTTATAATATGAAGGCTATCAGAAGAAAGTAATAGTCCAGAACGTTAGCACTAGTTATATTAAGGTGGTAAATTTTCTAGTTGTCAAACTTTCTATGTGTTTACCACGTTCTCATAATAAAAACCACTTCTGTAAAATTGCAGTGTAGTTTATATCATTGCTATGGTTTGGGAGCAAGGATATGAAAGGTTCATATGGAAACACTGTAGTTGTTGGAAGTCATTAGAGAATACATTCCTCCAGAAACTTTGGTTTTCATTTCCAACTTCTACCTCCCCACCCCCCAACCCCCCGCATCCACAACAGGCATGTGTTTTTAAATTTTTCTCAATAAAGATGGTTATGTCCATTTTTTAAGACAAGTTCTTGGACAATTTGCCTTTAAAACCATCTTCTGATGTATAATAGGCTCATTAGGCATTTTTAAAAATCATCGGATGCCAAAAAAAATAATCATCGGCTGCCAGCACACACCAGATAATGGAATGTTTTCTCCCCCCTTCTGCCAGACGACAAGTTATACATTTTCTTTCAGATAAAAAATGCCGCTGGCTCTCGTTCCCCTCGGGCGGGGCGAGCCTTCCCCTGGGTCTCTTCTGGGCAGCAGCAGGGCAGCGCCTCAGGAGGCCTTGTGGGAGAGGCCTTGTGCCACCCCCATGCACAGGCCTCACGCAGCTGGCTCTTACGACCAGGCTGGTGTGCTTCGCTGTTTCCCAGGCAGCGGAGACAGCAGCATGCCGAGGCCCGGGAGGGTGGTCTGGGTTTGCCACGACCTCCCGCTCACTCTCAGCAGATCAGCTGTTCTGGCTTTACCAATTTCTGATTTACCTTCTTTCTTAGACTCTTCTCGTTTGTGAATGCTTGTTCCCTGCCTGTTATGCAGTGTGTATGTGTGAGTGAGTGATGTGAAAGCCTTTCTGAGTTCCAGTTTGACCTTGAAACTGTAGCCTGCAGGGTCATGACAGGTCCACAGTTTTGTGAGGTCTCAGAAAAACTGTTACCGAGAGGATTTTTCAGTTAATACTAATTTTTTTTTAAAGATTTATTTATTCATATAGAACTGGGGTACAGGCCAGAGATGCAGAGGGTGAGAGGATTCACCAGAGACAGAACGAGGAGCAGAACAGGCAGATCAATGAAGTACACTGCTGAGGGGAGCAGCGGGCGGGTCAGGAGAGGTCTGCTGCGCCATGTGGGTCACCTCCGGGACAGGCGGGGATCCAACTCATGCGGAAGTGGCTTTAGCTTCTCAGTGCTGTGCTTTAACCCGCTGCGCCACCAGGGAGGGCCAGTTAATACTGATTTTTTAATAGAGAAATAAAAAGATAAAGATGGGAGAGTAAGTCATATGGAATTTGTATGTTACTCAAAGTAAAAATGTAATTGCATTTAGCAAAATCTGTTTTAAATGTTTACGGTAGAAGCAGACACGTGTAGGTTCCTGCACTTGCCAGCCTAGCGCAGTGGGTGGCCAGGCCGATTGGCCTGCCAGGAGCAGACACGTGGAGCCTCCTGCAGCCGCCTGAGCGGCAAGAGCCATTTCTCTTGTTTCTGCTGTTCCTCCAGTGCGTGGACCTCAGCTGCAATGAGCTAAGCGAAGTGACGTTACCCGAAAACCTGCCTCCCAAACTGCAAGAGCTAGACCTGACTGGAAACCCCCGCCTGGCCCTGGATCACAAAACCCTGGAGCTGCTGAAGTAAGTGTCTATAGGGAAGCACTCGTCAGTAGCCACTGTGGATGAGACAGCTTAATAAAACGTTAGGGAGCAAAGGGGACCTGGCGCCTTCCTGAGCTGTGTCTGCACCACTGCGAGTCTGTAGTTCACCAAGGTGAAGGGCAAAACTATGTCAAAGAATTGGAGACTTGTGTCCTTACAGAACATGTTTGAGGTATCTAAACAGAAGGAGAATGAGGAGAACAGAAACAATGAGGAAAGGGAGAGAGCACGCAAGATAAATCGTTACACCTTGGCTTGGGTGCTGCTTCATGCTGGTGTCCTGAAAGGGCTTTCAAAGAGGTGCATTTGTGGGAGTAACTAACGACTGGGAACTAAAATCCAGATGGGTTTAAACAAGATTAGGAGTGTGGAGCAGTTAGGGCCTGCGAAGCTCTATCCGTGTTTCAGGAAAAGTCCACTGATAACTCTCATTACTGATGTCGGTAGAAAGTTACAGCTTGAAGTTCACGCAATTATGCTCCACAATTGAGCATAATTACCTTTTAAAATGATGATGTAGTCGTGTTACAAACTCAAAAGGCCTCTATGGAATGTTAAGTGGCGAGTGTGCAAATACATCCCCAATTTTGCAAAACACATTAGTGTGTGTCGGATACTATGTGCACACCTCGAAAGTGCCAGAAAGGATGCAAAACAGTGTCAATAGTGCAATACTGTGGATGGTAGGATTATGAGTTGTCATTATTTTCTTTAAATTTGGGAGACTATTTAAGCTTTTCTTTGCAGCGCAACATTAAGTAAGTCTCGGACATTGGCACATGTTAGTCATTGTGATGCCACACACTGTAACATGCTGTGACAGCCACTGCTGAGACGCCTTTTAGTCACTGGGAAAACTAAAAAAGTAGAAATTTCAAGACGAGAGTGGGTTAGTGATCTATTGAAGCCATCCTAGGTGCACTAATGTACTTCAGTGCAGCCCAAAATTTGAAAAGCCTTAAAGTGATTTCTGGATAGAATTGGCCATTTTACAGTCTTTTTTTTTTCTTTAATCTTTTAAGTTCTTAATGAAAACATTGATTTCTATAAAGAATTGACAAGTGCTCCCTAAATAGTGTCCCCGGGAAGCCACAGGGACCTTGCTGTCAGTATGTGATGCCACAGCTCACATCTCTCACTCTCCCAGACCCCGTTTTCTCTCTAAGACGAGAGGGCTGGTCGGTAAACCTCCTAAGGGCTCTTTTCAGGACTAAGTGCATCACTAACAAGATATATTTCCGCTTTATACAGGTAGTTTTTGAGTACTTTTATAAATATGACATAATAATGATATAATTGGTAATTATATCAAAATTGGGTAGTAACTAGAAACTACTGTTTGGAGAAAAATGAAAGAGGAATTTTTATCTCACACCTAAATTAAAGAGTTAAATCAATAAGATGAAATAATGTTTAAAAGTAAGAAGAGAGCATATGAGTCTAATCACAAGTCAGAAAAGGGCTTTTTCATCCAAGAATGGGGAGGGGAGGACCACAGGCAGAGAAATCAGTATATGTAGATTGGCTTTGATATTTATGTATATTTACATATAAAAATGCTTTTTATACCTAAAAGCTTTAAATGCCTAGTCTAGAGGATACCAAAAATAAGTCTAATAGGCAAATGACATAGCAGAAACATTGGCAAAAAATATGAAAAATAAAAGCAATATTCTCTTAACAGGAAATGTTCTTACAAGTCAGTAGAACAGAAGATAATAGAACATGGTAAAATTTTACCAAAGAACAGATTTTTACATGAAAGGTCATGTCCATCTATATTAGTATACAAGAAAATAGTAAATAAAATATGTAAATGATATCTTTTCCCCCTCTAAAATTGGTGTTGCTCAGGACTATAAATTAGCATAACTTGTCTTAGCTATTATGTCAAGCTTTTGAAAATATTTACATACTGAGTCCAAACTTTTCTGTGGCGATATTTAACCTGAAATCAGAAACCTGGTACCCATCTTGGACACAGAAATAGTCCTCAACATAACTCTAATCATATTCAGGACAAATGTAAAATGACTTGGGGAAATAGTCACGATGCAATTGGACAGCAGAAGTAAAACCGAATAGATGAGTGACTTTACTATTTTATATGCGTAAGAGAAAATGGAAGTGTTAACTCCTCTCCAGGGGCTTCTGCTCCCTGCGCACGAGCTGCTGCAGTGAGGCACACACGCCCATTCTGAGAGAAATCCTAGTTCCCCCAGAGAGCAGCGTTGCCTTCTGTTTAGCATGTAGAAGGCCGTGGCTCTCAGTCGCTCGGGCAGGTTCCCACCTCACGTGCTGCTGTGCCTGTAGGCAGCTGGCCCATTTGCTCCGTGCTCACCGGGCCGAGGCCAGAGGGATCTTCTGTGCGACTGAGCTCCCCCCTCCAGACTCTGAGACGGCGGAAAGATGCATCAGCGTCCGCTCGGGTCACCCCACAGCTGCCCCAGCCAGACAGAGAGTGAGAAATTGCCGCCTTACCAGGAAGGATTTTAGGGAAATTTAAGGATTATTTTTCCTTAATCATCAGGCTACAAAATGGGATGAGTTCTTTGAAGGCTCTGTGGTCTATAGAAAATATGTCTTCAGAAAGGAGCTTCAGGCTTTTCTTTGGGATTCAAAAAGGTAGCAGGGAGCTAGAAGCGCCGCAGGTGAGCCTGAGGAAGCCCCTGGCTCTGCCCGCCATACTCGTGATGTCGGTGCCCGCTCAGACGCAGGTGTGTTGTGGGTGACTCTCTAGTGCCCCCTTCTCTCCTGGTAGGACTGGGAATGTTTAAAAGGGAATTACATGGCCCCACTGTAGACAGGTGTTGATTTGATTTTGCGATTTCTGTTGGCACCAAGTAGGAGCTATATGTTTTTCAGTTTTTTGAGGTAAAGGGAAGAATAAACATTTTCTAGGAATTCAGAATAGAATATTTTGTTTTAACCAAATACATTTAAATTTCTAAATTTAAAAGAACTTTCCAGTAGCTATTTTTAAAATCACAGCGAATACTATGACATTAGATTTACTTCTTACAGTTAAATGGTCCTTAAGCAGGTATTTGGTATTTGTAAAGACATAATGTATGTTCTTAGGGCCACCACAAAGATTTTTTTTTTCATGTTAAAAGATGACACACGTGCCTTTTCTCTTGTTTAAATAAAAGGGGGGGGGAGACTAGGTCAGTTTACAAGTCCGTAGAACTTCACCATGTGGTAACCAGCCGCTTTAAAAACCTACTTCACGTCTGTTTGACTTCCTGTTTGGGGGCACTGAATGCTCTTCGGAAGGCTGGTTTTTAATAAACCCCATTTGGAAGGCTACACTTTTATTATTTCTGTTTTGGGTCCCACTGGATCAATGAAGGCATATGGGAGCTGAGATAAGAACTTGTCTCCAGTTTAAATATTATGTAGTTAATCTGTGACTTATTAAAATACTCATTTACTTGGTAATTTGATGATATTAGTGTAAGCATGAGTGGCTGTACAAATGAGGAAAGAATGGAAGCTTCAGGGCTTGGCAAGCTCTTAGTAGTACTGGTGCAGTATTCGAAGAGATGATGTGGGTAGAAAGGAACCAGATTTGGGGATGGAGGTTGCAGAATTCCCACACGCCGACCTACCACAATATAATCATGGCTTTTGCTTCACCCTTTCTTCGTCTGGGTGTTGGTGTTGTAAGAATACACCCACCTTATACTTGAACGCCCACTTCTCATGCCAAGGGTAAGCGCTGCCCTCTGTACCCCAGGAGGGAGCACCGTCCAGCGCGGCGTGTGTGAAAGCTGCGCAAACCGCCACAGAAGGCCGATAAAAACTGCTTTCGCAGTCTGTGCGTGCACCCTTGGTTTTCATTATGATGAGTCGTTAGTGCCTGGTGCTAATAAATATTTCAGTACATTAAACTCAGCCAGGCCCGGGGTGTACAGAGTGCCCGGCGGTTTCCATTTCTCACATACAGGTAGCAATTCTCACATGTTTGAATTTAATCAAGTCCGTCCCCGCCATTTCTCTCGCTAGCAACATCCGCTGTTTCAAGATCGACCAGCCCTCGGCAGGGGACGCGCCGGGAGCCCCCGCCGTCTGGAGCCACGGCTACACAGAAGCTTCAGGGGTGAAGAACAAGTAAGCGGGTGCAGGGCCGGAGCCGGGGCCGCCCCCGGCCCGCCTCCCCTCGTCAGTGCGCGCACACCCTCGCACCCTGTCCCCGAGGCGCGCCTCCCGCCCGCCTGAGGCCACCTGCTGTTTGCCGGTGAAGCGAGAGCCTGCACGGCATCTCCTGCTCTGTCTTTGTGAGGCTGTTGCTAGGAGACGGTGTAATTGACACAGCATCTCTGGGTGAGGCTGGGGTTTGGAGAAGGCACAACTAGGAGCCGCATCTCTGCTGCTCTGGAAGGCCCCTTAATCCTTCTCTGAAGCCTGTTTGCACAACTGGGAGAGTGTTCAAGGAGACTTGCTTGTCGCGTTGGAGATCACTCTCGTCATCGACTAGTTAGCGGCTCCGTGAAACTCCTTAGGCTGTGAATTAGCTCGGCAGTGGTGGTGGCCACTCCGTGGCGTCAGCTGTGTCTTGCCACCAGCATGACACCGTCTTAATTTCTTCTTTTCCCCTTTTTTCACCAACCTACCTTAACCTTCTATGCAAATGTCTTCTTGAGAACGGCAGTCAGACTCTTCAGGCTTGCTTGTATTTTATGGAGAGGTGCGGGCATATCAGGAAAGTAAGGTGTAAGAACTCCGGGTGTGAGGACAGGGGACAGCAGACAGGTGCAGCTCGGGCCGACCCGATCCCGTCCTTTCTGGAGGGTGTGGCTGGTTTAAGTTTCGTGGGCAGTTTGACCTTTCCGGGGGGGGGGGTGGAAGTGGGGGTTCCACAGGCGGTGAGTTCTCAGTGCCGCCCCCTATCCCCGCCTGCGGACCCTCCCCCACCCCACCCCACCTGCTCAACTTCGGGGGCCCCTGCTCTGCTGGGGCTCCGCTCTGGCCGCAGCCCGAGGTTCTCCCCTGGCAGGAGGTGGGCAGGGCTGGCACGCACGGGCGGTGCCCCTTGGCGTCCGCTCTCTGACCGCTGCTGCTTCACAGTTCCCTGCCTCCTTTTCAGTCGCCACGGGTGTTGCATGTTTACATGAAAGTCGTGTTCCTTATGGTTTTGTCATTGTTTTATTCGTCTCTGCTTGATGTGCGAGTTCTCCTTCAGGTCTTGTAAAGGAGTGTGGAGAGCTGGGTCACTGTCCAGTATTATTCCCCACGATGTGGCCACCTTCTTTCCTTATCCGTCATGCAGTCTCAGCAGGGCGGAGAGGCCGCTCAGGTGCACAGGGTGTGTCATCCTTCTTTGCGTGAAGAAGGAAGTTGAGACATAGTCACTGGGGCTTGTTTCCCCGGTTCTTTTATTTCCATCGAGGTAATCCCCGTGGCATTCCTGCCACCCGTCACCCTGCGCCGACACCTTGGTCCCTTGCGCCTCCTGCCCTCACCTTGACCCCGCCAGTGTCTACTATACAGTTGTCGGCTGAGTTTTGTCCCCTGGTCTTTCCCGTCCGAGCTGTGAGGAACGGGGGCGGGCAGAGCGGGGCGCGGGGGGCAGAGGCCTCACCTGTCGGCGCCCGCCCACAGGCTGTGCGTCGCAGCCCTGTCGGTGAACAACTTCTGCGACAACCAGGAGGCCCTGTACGGCGTGTTTGACGGGGACCGCAACGTGGAGGTGCCCTCGCTCCTGCAGTGCACCATGAGCGACATCTTGGCGGAAGAGCTGCAGAAAACCAAAAACGAGGACGAGTATATGGTCAACACCTTCATCGTCATGCAGCGGTGAGGCGTGGCGCCCTGCTCTGTCTTCTTGCCTTTTGGGGGGTGTTTGCCCCCTGCTGAGACGTGAGGAGTCGGGGACCCCAGCTGTTGCTGGTGGTGGGCCCGGGGGCGCCACTGGGCGCTCAGACTTTGGGCTGTGGCCAGCACTCTTCCGCCTCTCCCAAGTCACCCGGAGCTGAGAGGCCCTGAAACCCCCGGGACCTGGACGGCCCTTTGGGACAGGCTGCTTCCATCTCAGGTTCCCCGCCGCCGAAATGGGATCCCTGCCTCGAGGTAGTGGAAGCTTTGCGGATTTGAGACGGTCGAGCTTGAGGCCGGAAGCCTGCTCATTCCGCACATGCTGCTTGCCCCACTGTTAGGGTGCCGTAGCAGAGCCCTGGGCCACCGCCCCGCACTTCAGCCACCGGGGAGGGGGTGCAGGCGCCCCGGGTTCGGGGCGGGGGGGTGGTGCGCGAGGCCGGCCAAGGTCCGGCCTTTTCCTCTCCCTTGATAATCTGCCACAGGAAGTGTTTTTGCTGTCGGGTTAGAAACAATACCTGCTGATGAACGCTGGCGCACAGGTCCCCCGTGGCCGAGCAGAGTCCCCCTGAGGACCTGGGCACAGGCGGGTCCAGCAAAGTCAGCACCGCCTCTCGCACCGCCCTTCAGGCCCTCCGTGGCCAAGGCGGCCGCCGGCAGCTCGCGCTGGGACTAGCTGACGCTCAGCGGGCCCTGAATATGTGCGCGCTGTTGTTCTGAGTACCCCAGATGCCCTAAATTCCACCCAGCGAGGTAGGCGGCGTTGCCATTCTGGCTTTGCTGGTGAGATGCCGTGGTCAGAATGGCACGACCAGAACTTGACCCTTGGCAAGAGACTGGGCACATCTGCTTTTGTCCTCACCACCATCTTGTTCTAGGGCAAAAAGGGAAAGTGTGTGTGTGTGTGTGTGTGTGTGTGTGTGTGTGTGTGTGTGTGTGTGTGAGAGTCACACACGTGCCCTTCACTGGCCCCTGTGAGGTTCAATTTGTATAGATCCTCTAGCACTAAATAAGAATGAAGAACCTCAGGCTCTGACTACTCACTGCACTTTCCTCAGATACATTCCTGTTTCTCGCTTTGCTGAGAAAAGTCTTTGTGCCCTGGCAAGGAAGAAAGCCGCTCCTGGGCCTCTGGGGGTAGAGGGCCGCCCTGCCCGTCACGAGCAGCCCCTTCCACGAGGCCTGTGTGGCAGACGCGCCCTGCCGTGCCTGCTCCGGGGAAAGAGCTGAGCGGCCCCGCAGCCGGTCTGCCGCACAGCCCCGTGGAGTGCACGGACCGGCGCACGGTGCTGACGCCGCCTCTGAATTCCAGGAAACTCGGGACGGCTGGGCAGAAACTTGGAGGTGCCGCTGTCCTCTGCCACATCAAACACGACCCTGTGGACCTGGGAGGCTCCTTCACACTGACCTCCGCTAACGTGGGCAAGTGCCAGACGGTTCTGTGCCGGAATGGGAAGCCGTTGCCGCTGTCCAGGTCGTACGTCATGAGCTGTGAGGAGGAGCTCAAGAGAATTAAACGGCACAAGGCCATTATCACCGAGGTGAGGGGGGGACAGTTTTCCTGAGGACGGGGTAGGCCACGGCCAGCGTGTCTCAGCGAAGCTGTCTGGTGTGTGTCTGAAGACATGACCGTGTGGGCAGCCCGCCCGCCCCTGGGCCCTCTGAGGCAGGGCTGTGCCAGCTGCTTCCACCTGGCCCCCCTAGGTGGGCTGAGGGCCCCGGGCCTGCACCCACCCGCCGGGGCGGGGGGGGTCCTACCTGCCGCTTGCAGGCCGTGCCCAGTAAGGCTCCCAAAGCCCTCAGGAGGCCTAGGTAGCTGGTGTCTCC